GGATCACTTTCTTATTTTTTTCATCCCAGAGGCGGTATCCAAACTCATCTCCGCCATAGCCGATGAAAATGCATTTCTTAGATTTGGGATCAAGCTTATTCCTGCCATGATCACTTTGCAACATATGCTACACAACCGAAAAACTCTTAGGTGTGAGAGGTTTTTACTTCTTTCCACTCCGATACCTCTTCTGGTATTTTGTGCTCCAATCGGTACCAATGGAACTCGGTTTGATCAAAGTAAGCTGCGTGTGTTGACTTAGCTTCTGCCAGAACGCTTTGGTAAGCCTGATTTACACATAAGCTTCGGCTCTTTCTTCAACGTTCGATTCATTGCGGCCTAGCTTACACCATTGTGTTGAGGCGTGCCTGCACGGTTTCTCTCCATCTTGATTCCCAGCTGATTCCATGCTCATAGCAGAACTTCTTGAACTTGGTGTCTTCATATTCACCACCATTATCGGTTCTGAGCTTTTTGATCTTCAATCCTGTCTCATTTTCAACCATAGCTTTCCAAATTTTGAAAACATCAAATACTTCAGACTTATTTTTTAGAAAGTAAACCCATACTTTCCGAGAGTGATCATCAATAAAAGTCACAAAGTAGTGTTTCCCACCAATGGATGAGACAGTAGTTGGTCCCCACACATCAGAGTGAACAAGCTCAAGTTTCTCATTCTTTAGGGTTCTTCTATTTGTCTGAAAGTTAACTCTTTTCTGCTTTCCAAATATGCAGTCTTCACACATGTCTATTTCAATTGACTGAAGACCTGGTAGTTTTCCCTGTGAGTGTAGAATCTTCATTACTTTCATACTCATATGGCCTAGCCTCTGATGCCATAGATTAGGAGTTTCACTGTTTGCTGCAACAGTAATGGAATAGCTTGCTCCTCCTGTGCTGTAAAGAGTACCACTCTTACTTGCACGAGCAACCATCATTATACCCTAATAGCTTGCTCCTCCTGTGCTGTAAAGAGTACCACTCTTACTTGCACGAGCAACCATCATTATACCCTTTGTAATCTTCCAATTATCGCCGTGGAAGGTTGTTGTGTAGCCGTCACTGGCCAACTGGCCTACTGCGATTAAGTTCTTTCTCAGGTCAGGAATATGTCTGACATCCTTCAACTCCCATGTAGACCCATTCAACTTAATCTTCACAACTCTTTTACCAACAATATTACATGGTTGGTCATTACCAAGGTATACTTTTCTAAAGTTTTCGGGGGCATACCTTTCAAGGAGTTCTTTTTGTGAAGTTGCATGAAGTTGCATAGAATGACACACCGAAGTCTAAAACCCAAGACTCCTGCTTGCTCTCCAAAGAGCATATAAGCGCATCCTGAGGTGGAGGCAACATTTGCTTCTAACTTCCCCTCCTGGTTCTTAGATGCATTCTTGCACTGATTTTTGTAGTGCCCAGTTTTTCCACAATTCTAACATTCGATGGACTTCGTGTTATTGAAATTGCTGGGATTCCTGGATTTGGACCTCCTGTCCTTTGATTTGCCTCGGTAGTTTGATCTACCGCGTCCATTCCCTCTAGTTGAATTTCTTTCCTCTTGATTCTGTATGCAAGACTGAAGAAGTTGAAGGTTCATTTGACTCTCTCCGTCGGATCTCTTCACTGAGAAATAGGTCACGAACATCATCAAATTTTAACTTTTAACTTCTTGCTTCCGGACGAGCTACTCACAGCTATGACAGTAGCATTCCAACTTTCTGGTAGGGAAGAAAAAAGTATCAATGCTCGTACCTCTTTATCAAATTCAATTCCAATTGAACTCAATTGGGTTGTCACTGTATTGAGTTCATTGAGATGTTGGGCCACAAATGCACTTTCCGTCATTCATAGATTGAATAACCGTCTCATCAAGTGAACTTTGTTTGCGGCCGATGGCTTTTCGTACATATTGGAAAGACCCGCCATAAGACCCGCCTTGGTCTTTTCTTTTGCTATGTTGAAGGCAACATTGTGGGAGAGGGTTAAACGAATAATCCCGAGTGCTTGTCTGTTTAGAAGATTCCAATCTTCTTCCTTCATAGCCTCTGGCTTCGTTCCGGAGAGAGGTTTGAAAAGACCTTTCTGATACATTGAAAAGACCTTTCTGATACAGATAATCCTCTATCTGCATTTTCCAAAAGCCAAAATCTGCACCGTCAAATTTTTCAATTTTTGACTTTCCTTCATCTGCAGCCATTACTCCCACTCGAGTCTAATTTCGCCTTGATTGTTAGTATACGTGAATAGTAATAGTATACGTGAATAGTAACTGAATACGTGAATAGTAACTGTACACGTGAATAGTACTATGCTGGGTTTATTTGAAACGGGCTCAGCAACCGCCAATAGTACTGTTCACCACCAACGTTGAGTTACTATTTTACTAGTCATCACTAAGTCGATTCTGCAACGACTTTCCGAGCGGACAGCACCAATAGACTCGTCGTAATTTTCTCGTCGTCGTGGTATATTTATGTGGTATATTTATTTTCAAAGTATATCCACGGATCCGGTACCGCTATCTGACTGGCTGGACCTACCGAAACCTTCGGCTCTAATACCAATTGTTAGGAATCATCTCTGATACCAGTTGTTGGGGGAAAAATTACGCAAAATCCCCAAAAGTCGAATTTATGAGGGAGCAAAAGAAAATAACAACACACAATTTGATAACGGAGTTCGGCCAATCTTGCCTACGTCTCCGAACCGCCACAGATTTTTTATAGGAGAAAAATAAATAAAGTGTTTACAAATACTCACAACCCTCTATCAAGAATACCCGAAAAATTAAGCTTAATTTTTCTTCTTTCTTGACCATAATCTCTCTATTTTTCCTCTCTCACAATTGCTCTCACTCTGCTCTGTCTTCTTGTTGGTGTTAGTGTGAGCTGCTAATTTCCTTTTAATAGGAGAAGAGAATGTGTAAAATTCTGCGTCCACTTCTCACAATTGCTCTCACTCTCTCTGTCTTCTTGTTGGTGTTAGTGTGAGCTGCTAACTTCTCCTATTTATAGGAGAAGAGAATGTGTAAAATTCTGCGTCCACTGCCTAACTTTCCAAAGCTGTGTGTTTCTTTTCCTTTGATTCTTTCTTTTACACACGTGGATCCCATTTAAGTGGCCACACCACAACCTAACTTTGACACAATCTGTGTTGTCAATTGAACTACAACCCGTAGATTATTAAATACTAGTATATTATTGATTCTTTTACTTGGAAACCCGATGAATATACTGTTAAGTCAGCATATTATATTGGTCTTTCCTTTGTTATTGAGGATTAATATTTTTTCGGGTAATCGGACCAAGCTTTGGGAGTTGCAGGTACCACCGAAGGTAAAGAATTTTCTATGGGGGGCTATTCGAAGTATTGTCGCCGCAAAGCTCGTTCTTCAAAAGCGCAGTATTGAGCTTAATACCTGTTGTTCGTTTTGCGGAGATGAGGAAGACCTTTTACATGTTTTGTTCCTATGCCCTCAAGCTTGTGAATGTTTTACTTGGTTTGAGGTGCCTGTTAGCACCTATTTCTTGTTCTTTGGTTTTTTTATACCGTTGACAGTGTAGAAACGAATATTATGAACAGAATATGTAGCTTGCTTTATCATTTGTGGTAACCGGCTTATATGGAAAGGCAAGATTTTCTTTCTAATTTGCTATGCTATGCGCGAGCTTCATAACTGGCAGCGAGCTCAGTCCTTAAATCGGGCTGCTGTAGTGTCGTTTGGTTTAATGGCGAGCTGTACTACATGGTGTCGGCCAAGTGTTGGTCTGGTTAAATGCAATATCTATGGGTCAATTTTTGTGCAGGAGGCGAAGTATGGGATGGGTGCAGTTCTGCATAATGAAACTGGACAGTTTCTGTGTGGACTGTCTTGTTGGTTTTTTGGGTCTCCATCTTCGAAGGTTGCTGAGGCCATAACTGTTAGGGAAGCACTTAGCTGGTTGAAAGGAGAAAGCTTCATAGTGTGGATGTGGAACTGGATTGTAGGGAGGTTTGGTGTAGTATTTCTTCTTCAAGCATTCCCAATACCGAATATGGTAATACTGTAAGGTTCTTATTAGTGAAGGCAAAGATTTTCAGTCCAAAGGGATTTCGCAGCAAGTTAATATGAATGCTCATTCTCTCGCCTGGGTGGCTATTTCTCATACTTGTCCTACTATCTGGAGAGATACTCATCAGTTTTTGTTATTGTTTTTTTTTCGTGGTATAAAAAAAAAAAAGTATGTATGAATATTAAAATGGTTGAATATATAAATTCATCTCTTAATTTTACAATTTTATGGTATTTTCAATTTTTTTTACCTATTAAATATTTTAATTTATAAAATTACACACACTAAATACTTGAATTTGTAAAATCATTTTATTGAATTTTTAACTTGCAAAATTAGATCAATTAAATATTAGTAAATAATTAAAAAATCTAAAAATTATTATTTCAAATACTATATTAACTATATATTAAATCAATATTTGCATATAAAAAAAAATTTAGCAATTATTTTTATTAGTGTGAAAAAATATGCAATATTATTGAAATTAATTTACAAATTTAAAGGTACCATAACTCTTTTATAAAGTTTTATTAGTGTGAAAAAATATGGAAAATTACTAAATTGAACTTTTAACTTGTAAAATTAGATCCATTAAATATTTATTAAATAATTGAAAAATTTGAAAATTATTATTTCATATTATATATTAAAATCAATATTTTATATATAAAAATAAAAAAACTCCAAAAACTATTATTATTAGTATGAGTAGGTATGCAATATTATTGAAATTTATAAATTTAAGCGTACTATAACTCTTTTATAAAGTTTTATTAGTGTAAAAAATTATGCAAGATTACTAAATTTACAAATTTAAGGTAGGATAAGTCTTTAATAAAGTTTAGAGTGTCTAAATTAAAGTTAAAAAGTTAAGCGGTGAATTCATGCATTTAGTTAAGTTAAAATGGTAAAATTACAGCTTTCAATGAAAATATCATTATTTTCCTCTTCTTTATTTCGTCCTCTCTCATCCAGACGAAGTGCCCGCTTATGCTACAGCGAGCTGCTACAGCCCAGCCACTGCCATGGTGGTCTCTACGGCAGCTCTTCTTCACCGTCTCTCATCAATTATCTGTTCAGCGAAACTTCTCTTCCATATCTAAAAGCAGGGTTCAGTTTTTAAACTTGCTCCTATCTTCAACATCGCAATTTGTTTAAATTTAAACGACTGATCATTTTATTTGTCTCAGGTTTTGAATCATTTGGACGAGGAGTGTGAAGATTTTTTGCCATGGTTGGAGAGGAAAGCTGGTATCGAGGTTTCATCGAAGCTTTACGTTGGAAAGTCCTCCTATGGCAGGTTGTTTAAAAAATTGAAAACTCTCTTTTTTTGGTTTTTTACTTATATTTTTATTTTTGGTTTCTTTTGAGGTCAATTGAATAGAAACCGTATCTTGTGGAAGAATAGACTCTGTTTTTTCTTTATATATTTATTTAATTTTGTTTTTTATTATAGGGAAACAGATTTTACTCTATAAACTGATATAATTCTTCTTCCTTTCTCTCATCATCAAGAAGGAAATAGAACTTTAGAATAGATGGGCTCTACAGTGTTTTACCAGACAGAGGACTTAACTAAAGCTCCGTGATTTGGGGAACAAATTAAAGTGTAATCAAAATTAAAAAATACGGAATAAAATTAAAATGTAATGAAATTTAAAGGGATTAGTTTTTTTTTTGTCAATCACCTCAAATTTGAAGTTATATTTCTAGTTTTGAAACTGGGATTGTTTGTCTTTTTTTGTTTTTTCTTTTTTTGGTGTATGAAATTTAATTAAAGCACTAAAATAAAATATAACAAACTTTTGGATGCCCTTATTGATTTGCCTCTAATTATATGCATATTTTTTTATTATTTTCCTCACCCAGCAACACAGCTGGGAAACTTTCGCAGGAAAATATTTTTTATACCATGAAAAGATATGGAATCTAGCATGTTTTCTCTAGTAATGGGCTTCATTTTTTTTTTTTTTTTAAAAGAACGTCTTTTTTTTTTTTTGTTTATCTGATCATATATGTTCTTATATGCAGGTCACTATTTGCTTCTGAAGACATACAAACTGGAGACTGCATATTGAGAGTTCCATATGGTGTTGTATGCTACTCTAGGTGTCCTTCATCTTTACTGTTGAAAGAGGAATCTGCCGTGTGATGAATATTTAAATAATTTTCTTGTTTGAATTTTCAGCAAATAGCATCAGATAAACTACTTGCAAAAGTTTCAGCTTTGTTGGACGATGAAGTTGAGCATGACACCAAGCTTGCTATTGTCCTTTTGGTTGAGCAAAAACTTGGCCAGGTAAACTTTAGTTGCGTGCTGTTTGGAATTCTGACAAAGTTTTTGTAATTCTTGTTGTCGCATGCTTAAGAAGAATTATCTTTTTCTTCTTTTTTTTTTTTTGAATTAACTTGAGGAGAATCCATGCTTGTCGGGAGTACTGCTGTTTTTAGCTTTTATAAGCAGATTTGAGGAACTGTGAAGTGCTCATGGCCCTTATTATTATGGAGATCAAAATTGAACCATGTACAAAAGGGATAAATTCTACAAAACATAATCAATAAAATCAGGAACAACTTGCATTTTGCAACTTTGCCCTACCGAACTGGAAATTTAGTGTATAAGTCCACTATCTTTGAGCTTTTATAGGCCAAAGTTTTGGTCTTATCATTTCAAGCATATAGACCTCTCTAACCCCACAATTCATTTAGCTGCTATCCAGGAAATTCAAGGAAATAGTGGGCCACATCCCAATGATAGTACAACATGATTCAGCTGTTTAGTTTTATCCAGTTGTTGATTCAGCTGCATCTTGCTAAATAAGCATCGATTGATCTTGTTCTTTCCCCATTTTCCTCTATAGCAGGAATCTGCGTGGGCCCCTTATGTTAACTGGCTTCCTCAGCTTGGAGAAATGGATAGCGCGGTAAATTTTTCTCATTCACTTTTACTTTTAATTTGTCTTTCATTAAGTTTCAAAATTCTGATACGTTTTGTGTTTGTGCATATTTTATTTGGCATGTAATACTTAGAAGTGGTTAAATAATGTTTAGTGTTTTTGGTTCATTTTGGTTTTACAATAATGGCCTAATGACCCTGCTACTTGCCAGAGCAGCAATAGATTTTTTTTGTCATATAGTGCCCCAGTGAGGTAATTGTCATTGCAGTACAGTTGAGGCAAACTTCATGGGTAACTAGAATATGAAGTTAAGACGAGAGAAAAAAAATTGAACGTTAGTAATCCTTCAATTTCTAAAATTCAGAAGTGGTTTTGTTAATGGATCAGCTGCTTCTATTTTAAAAGTATATGATTGGTCTATCAAACTGCTGCCTCTTCCCTTGTTGTGCTGGTTAAGTAGAATATAGGGTTAGAAATCTTGGGTTCAGCAGATTTCTGCAGTTGAGATAAATAGAGTTGCTTATGACTAAGCCAAGAGCCTGGCAGGGAAATTGGCACTTCCAGATAATTAGTTCATCAGAGCGAATAACTTCTAACCAAATTAAGGTGGTTGTTTCTGTGAACCCATTCAATATATACACTGATAAATATAATATGCAATGGCATGGTAAATTATACCCAAAATGGCATAGCAGTTTTTGAAGTTGAAGCTAATTCTTGCATAGGTTATTTGTTACTTCTGTTACTGGCAAAAAAGTTGAATCAAAAAGCTTCTGTTTTATAATTTGTTTTAAATTCTGTAGATATTCTGGAGCAAAAGTGAGTTGGACATGATTTATAAAAGCTCAGTATATCAGGAAACAATTGAACAAAAGACTCAAATCGACAAAGATTTCTTGAGAATTAAGCCGGTAAATACATATTTTATCTCACTGTTATAAATGCTAAGATCATATGTGTCGGTTATTTGAATGTGCATGAGTGTTTTTCTTATTAGGTCCATTTGTATACATACTTTTTTTCCCTTTCCTTTGTCACATGTTTTCCTGTTCACTATTCTATTCTTGCCTCCCACTCCTTTCCTCATCTATATATTCCTTGGAAAGTTAATTTTTGAATGAACAAAGATGTCTAGAATGAGTTGGATAGGTGAGGTTTCTTATGAATGTTTTATCATAAACTCTTGAAGGTTTTCATGACAGGTATAAAAGGATTTGGTCATAGCCATCAAAAGGAAAATAAGAGGAATGTCGGTAGCATTTATTGCATACTGCGAAGCTCTTGTTTTATCCCATGTTTTTTCAAATTATTTATATGAGTAGCCGATAAATTAATGCCTTTACTTTTGGCTCTTCCTATCCCACTAAGAAGAAGAGGATGAGGTAGGAGGGAGATGGAGAAGGCATCAGCATTCCTACTGCTCTCCATGTAATTATTTGAAAAAGCATGGACAAAAGACGGGCTTGGCATCATGATAAGTTTGACAGGAGTAACATTATCAGTATCGCATGTTTTTTTGACACATTTAACCATTTTTACTTAACTGGACTCAAATCTAAATTTTGAACCGTCAAAGAATTAGAAGATGTGCTAGCGACTGATGGTGAAATGCCTGGAAGTTAACCATAATTGCAGTTTGCTTGAAATATGTGATTCTTAGTTCTTCATGCTCTATTTTGATTGTGCTAATTTCTTTTTTCAATTTTGTAGGCTCTTGAACACTTACCTCATAGTTTAAGGAGTATTACATTTAAGGATTTCGTGCATTCATATGCTTTAGGTAATCGACTTTTTTTTTTTTGGAAGTATTCGCTATATTTTATCTGTTTCTCTTTTGTTAATACATACTTCCATTTGAATGTAAAAGGCTTATTTGCTTGGGCCTTTTCTTTTTGGAGTTTTTTCAGTCCGATTATAATTTCTCTGCTTTTTTTCCCTTCTTGAATTTGTCAGCAAAGCAAAATTAAAATGATTAATCATTTGTAAGAGTAATTGATCTGCATCCTAGTACGAGCTCATAAATAAATTGTAAATGTACGCGTTATATAAATGATATAACCATCCCTTTGAAGCAACTGAACTCATACTCTTTGAAAAAGAAAAAGTCAAAAATACTATTTTAACTTTTCTATTTGGATAATATCATATTGGTTTAGAATCTGTGAAGGTATTATAATTGCGTTGTTGTGATTACGACAGTTAAATCTCGAGCTTGGGGAAGCACAAAGGGTGCATCTCTGGTAATGCTTCTAAATAATGTTTGTATTTAAAACATTTCCTATATTTGCTTTTGATGTACTCTTTTTACCATATTGCTTTGAATTATTAGATTATTCTGTAGATCCCTTTTGCAGATTTTCTGAACCATGATGGTATTTCTGAAGCAGTTTTATTAAATGATGAAGACAAGCAGGTCTCTGAGGTAAGCTCCATCTTTCATTCCTTCTTTTTTATTTCTTGTTATATATCTTTCATTATGATGGTATGACAGTAGATGGTTCTGTATCTTGTCCTTTAACAAAAAAACTTTTGATATTCAAGATGGCATAGTTAATCCATTGTTCTTGTCTCCATTTCTCTCAAAGACAAATGCATTTTTCTTCTTGGGGCTTTCTTTCTTTCTTTTTTAAAGGCTGTTTGTAAGTTCTATCTTTTGTTTAATTCTTCAGATCCTTGTCTGCAGGTTATTGCCGATCGAAATTATGCTCCTCATGAAGAGGTTAGACAGGGAAAAAGTCATTTTCGTTCACATAAACATTTAGATTTCTCACCATAATGTGTGAATTGTTCTGATATGAAGAACAAAGTTTATTTCATCTTGCTCCCAAGCAAAATGTCTAGAATCAAATGATGTACAATAGCACTTCTGGTAAAGAAGATTTACTTTTTTTTCATGAGATAAACTTAACTTCGAGGCTGCCTTATGTTTGAGCTGTTACTTCTTGCCAAATATGCCCGTCTAGGGTCTAGGGACTTTCTGAAAAATTTGCAGTCTCATGGTGATGCTTTTTCTGGAACTACCTTGAATGGTGGATATTCTTTCCATGTCATGCACAATGCCAGTAATTCTTTGATTTCTGCTATTAAAACTGCTTTCGGTGCTAATTTCTCTCTTTTGGTTTTTGCCATTATCCCAGGAGGATTGACATTAAGTATATCAACAAGCTTTGAACCATGATAATGGTCATTATGTGATGTAAACAAATGGAGGAATGAGGAGACCATTACTAGACCTAGAAGCAATAGGCATGAAATGAAATTGCAGGATGATAGCTAGTGTGCCAGGGATGCAGTTTTAATAGCAGTTTTGAATATATATTCAAGAAGTTAACTGAAATTTAATAAATGCATCTATTAATGAGATTAAATACATCAGATAAAGATAATTTATTATCTATTAAAAATACAAAAAAAAAGAGTATCTGTGATTTATTCATTATCTGCTAAGAATCACCAAAAGTGTCTAGGAGGGTCCTGAGGGAAAAAAAAGGTATTGAAATAAAAAACTCCATGCAATGAAGGTTCAGGGTACTTTCAGTTGACACTGGGAAAAGGAAGGAGAGAATTGGTGCCTGCAAAAGTATGGAAAGAGACCTGGCTAGCAGCTAAAGAAAGGGCTTTTGTCCTTGTAACTGCAAGAACTATTAAATAATGGCTGTTGTGGCTATTATGGCTGTTAAAGATTTTTATACAGTGTCATGCATTTCAATTTAAAAAATAATTTTTTGAAAAAGTCAGGGTAACATATCAAAGGGCAGGCTACAATCTTTTTGCATCACATGATGCCCAAGCTGCATCCCTGGCACACTCTTTTTGTTTGTGTGTATTGGGACCTACCTGGACACTTTTGGTGATTCTTATCAGTTATATGCAATGTGACTGTGATATAAATCCATCCATACTTCGAAACAAGGATGTTACTGAATGTAAAGATGAGTGCAGTTCTGTGCTGATAATTACTGTATGATGTTAAGTCCTTTATTATTTGTTGACTGGTTGCTATTTTGCCTTCTCTTATGATTCTAAGTTCTAACCATTGCTTGATGGGAGATTTTGCGGTTTATCTGCTCGGTAGATATCCTTGGATGATTTATGTAAATTGATTTTGGATCATAATATCCTACATGCTTCAGGGTCAAGTTCTCCGTATTTGGTTTTTACTGTCAAGATAGTTCCTGAAACTTGTATACGACAATATGAAGATTCACCCAACTTAATGTCATTTGATTTATGTCCAATATCTGTAGTGTAGTATAATTGGTGTTAGTATTAATAACCATGTGTTTCTGGTGTTCCTCCATATGACCATATGAATAGTATTCGTCATCTTTTGGGGCTGTAAAATATACTTGTTCCTTCTATTATTCTCAGGTTTGCTTGAAACATTTATGCAGGTAATGATCAGATATGGAAAATTTTCAAATGCTACCCTGCTTTTGGACTTCGGGTTTACGCTTCCATATAACATCCATGATCAGGTTAGTCTTGGGTTAAAGTTGAATAGGAGTCTAATGGTCCTATGAGATCAAATTCCCTAGAGGGTTTAACTTTGTCTTCCATATTTAATGAGAGTAAATTAGTTGTCTTTCAGTATTTCACTAGCGGTCTAAATATGGGTCTTTCAATCTTGTTGTGTAATTTTTTTTTTTTTTTTTTTTTAAAGTTGAATAGGGAGTCTAATGGTCCTAAATGAGATCAAAATTCCTAGAGGGTTTTAAACTTTGTCTTCCATATTTAATGAAGAGTAAAATTTAGTTTGTCTTTCAGTATTTCAATAGCGGTCTAAATATGGGTCTTTCAATCCTTTGTTGTGTATTTTTTTTTAATTTTTTTTTTTTTTTTTTTGACTCAACTGGTTGTTATTGAGACTTTATGTTTCAGGTATTTCCAGTTTTTTGTCATTTAATTTTAATTCTTATCATAACTTATCCTATGTTATGTTTTGTTAGTGCCAGTTTCCACTTTTGCTAACATGTGGCCATATCTCTTATTAAATGACTCTGGTAATTCTCAGGTCAGGATCCAGATTGATGTACCTCATCATGATGTCTTGCGTGAAATGAAGGTTGACATCTTGCAAAGACATTATTTACCGACCATCGAAGATGACAATGGTTTCAAGTCTTCCTGGGATTCTTTCGTAATCAAGTGAGTTCTGAGGTTTGATATGCAATTTGATATCAAATAACAATGTAATATTACAAGTGGTGCTATTTCAAATTTGGAACTAAAGCTGGAGTTATGAATAGAAGTACTTTTCGATTTAAATGAAATGTTCTTGAGACTGGTGCTAAATCATAATGTTCAATGTCAAATGATTTTTTTTATGAGAATGATGATTGGTATACTAATCCATGAAAATGGATCAAGAGAAAAATGGAATTATCCTAATTGACTGAGTTGACATAGAGGCTAATACCAGTTTTCTATACCAAGAATTTGTCTTTGGAATGCATTCAGGATCTGGTTTTCATGTAGGGAAGTGAAGTCTGCTGGTGGGAAAGGGAAGGGTCTGCCACAGTCACTTCGTGCATTTGCTCGCATTCTAAGTTGCACCACTCATCAAGGTGAGTTTCAAATTGTATCTTTCACCTGGAATGAAATTTTACACATTTTATTAGTTTGTCCAAGCTGGTTCATGAAAGTGTGTTTTTATTTCTAATCGTATATTTCATATCCAGATTTAAGTGATTTGGTCATGGAAGCTGCACAAAACGATGGTCGTTTGGCCCGGCGCCCTTTAAGAAATAGCAGCAGAGAGATCAAAGCGCATGAGGTTTTGTCGTTCCACATCACTCAACTTATTGAGGAATATAATGCCTCTATTAAGGTGAATAAATGTGTAGTTTCTCCTCATTGTTCAGATTCCACTTTAAATTTAACTGTAGTTCTACAAATAACTATGGAACTTTGAAAAGGGATGGAGGATCAAGATTTTGTTGGCTCAGCACCAGTCCAATTTGGTTCTTTTACTCCAACTATATCAAACATTTGCCACCTTACAAAACAAACAATGTCTATTTTAATAGAATACAAACTGAATTTTTGTTGCTGAGGCTAGAGTCAGTGTTGGTGATGATTATATAGGAAGACGAGAATACTGAAAGTCTTAGGTCATGGTCATCTCAACTTGCATGTATCTGCACACATAGTTTGAAAGCAATTTAATATAAATTTATGACTTGATATCTCTGGCATGAAATAATGAGAGATTTAAGTGCCCTTCTGGTGTTGCTATTGCTATTGCTATTACTAATAATAGATTTGGACCAAATTAGGAGTAATTGGCTCAATGGATTTAGTTTCTTGCAATATGGTTTTTTATGGGTTAAAAGCTGATTTTGGAATAAGCTTCGATTTGATAATTTTTCAAATTCAGTTATAGGCCCTTAAAATCATCTATTATTCATTTGTTCATTAGAATACTTTCCAATCTTTTATCCAAATTCTGCTATCTGCAATAGCACTGCTGAACTATCCCTAAATTGAATAGATTTTGCCTTCTAATTACTTTTGCATGTATTGAACAGTTATTGGGGCCTGCTAATTGTCCCTCGACATGTAAAAGAGTTGCTCTTCGAAAGAAAATGGCTTTTGATCTCCTATCTGGTGAGCTTCGTGTCCTTAAATCTGCATCTGCATGGCTAAAGAATTACTGCACAACCTTGTTACAGCAGACTGCTCATGGAAGTGTTCAAGAATGATCAAGCAAATAAGAGGATAATTTACATGTACAACTTGATGCATATATCACCAATTCAATTCGGGGATGACCCTCAGAAAATTGGGGGGAAATGTCAGTTCCTAAGGTTGGATACAACAATTGTGAAGTGCACAAAAGGGATTGTTTTTGCAATTAAAAAGAATATATTTATATAATTTTGTGAGAAAGTGGAGTTATTCTCTTATTTGAAGAGTATCTGTTAAATGCCTAACTGAAATCTAAGAAACTCAAGAGTGGAATGTTTCAGATTATTAGAAGGTTTTGTTAATATAGTTCATTCAACCCGGTGTTTGCTCGACTGCCTAAACGATTTTATGTCTACTTTTTTTTTCTCTCTTTTTTTTTTTTTTTTTTTTTTTAAGGGTTTTGTCTTTATATAGGTTCATCAACCCGGTGTTGCTCTGACTGACGCCCTAAACGATTTTTGATCTACTTTATTTATTCTCTCTTTTTTTTTTTTTTTTTTTTTTTTTTTTTTTTTTTTGTCTTTGTTTGCGGAAAATAATTTATTTTGGAAAATATTTTTGAGAGTTTATGATTTTTATTAAGGGTGACGAGGAAATCAATCAACAAATAATATTTTTCCAGTCAAAAGGACAAGTGTGTCATTACCATGACCTTAAAAATATATTTTTATTAATCTAGTAATCATTATCAGCCACCATTATCTTCGTCCGTCACTGATATTAGACTGCCACAATTTAACTGATTTTAGACGACCACAATTTATAATTTTATGCATTTTTTTTATACTTAATAATAAAATTTAAAATATAGAAATTTATGTAATGTTAAATACTATCTGGAAAATATTTTGTTAGGTAAATCATTGGAAATAAATGGAAGCTTGCTAATTTGGTGCCTAGTGATCTGCTGGCTTAGGGTGAGATCGTGAAGATCCTACTTATGCCCTTCAAGCACTATTTTGTTTTGTATTTGTTCTGTTTTTTTTTTTTTTTTTTTTTTTTTAAAAAGAATAAAAAAGATGATTAGATGATGATTAACAATGCGTCTTTTTTTTTTTTTTTTTTTTTTTCTCTTAAAAAGAAATAAAAAGATGATAATGATGATTAACAATGGTCGAATATAAAAACAAAAACACAACTTTTGTTGCCAGTTGAAGAGATGCACAATATTATCAAAATTCATAGCTTTCGGAGTACAATAGATCTATCATAAAGTTTGAGCTGCAACAATTTTTCACATAACAAATGAAAACTTGATGCCAAAACCTAACATTTGATATCTGGCAATAAAAATTAACATCACCACCTGAATTGTCACTGGCTATCCCCTTTTGAAGCAACTCATTCTATCTCCCTAATATCTAATCAACGATATGATTTTCTAAATTTGAATTAAATGCAGAACATCAGGTATCCACGTTTTCAGTGATAATGAATCATTCTCAGGTTTCTTCATTCAGATATCGAAAAAGAAAAAAAAAAAACATTGAGAGAAGTTTGAGTTTTTTCATATGTACATGCAGCAAGTCTCCAATTCTACAGCCAGAGGTGCAAATGGAATTACTTTTATGTTATCACTATTTACAGATGAGTTCAGAGGCCATCACAGGATTGTTTTCTTCCTTTAAAGTTATTTGATTTCATCTGATTATGAGATGTATGCCTTTACCACCTCAGAATAATTGCAGACATCAGATGTTCTGGGACAGGTTATTTTACCATTGTTTTTCTTCGCCATTTCTTCAAGTGCCTGCAAAAACCCAAAAATAAAAAATAGGATGTCAGATGTTGAAACCCGTACTGAGCCATTCCCCAGGCTTCAATTTATTAAAAAAATTGCAGGTTAGACGGACCAGGCCTTTGGAAATTTTGGCATTCCCTAAGCTCAGGCCTGGCCATGAACAAGATTGCAAATCAAACGCTACTCATTCACTAGTAGAATAATTTGAACCTTAGTGCTGTAGACATAGCCATTAGGCAAGACTTGGGGTGGATTTTCTGTGTCCATCAGCTCTTTGGTTATGTAGCAAACAAGCTTTGAATGATGCTGCTTAGAGTATGGCAAAGGTGATGCCAATTTCCGGAAGCTCTCCTGTGAAAGTGGATCCTCCTTTGTGCAATCGTCCTCATAACAGTATCTAAAGTAGTTACGGTTAAGAAAAAAGCACTCACTCGGATGGTGTGCGAATTATTAACTGCGGTGATGATACCACATCATAGAGAAGTTAAAACCCAAATTCAAAGGAGAGAAGCTACTTGTAAAGAGTACATCCATCATATCATTAACAAACTGGAATGAGAAACCAAATGTTCAGCAATAATTGCATCTCACATGAAAAACTCCAAGACTCTGGAAAATCCATTTATCCTCTCTTATTTTTGTTTTTTCATTTAGGTTAAATGAGTTGCTCCAATTTATGCAGAAGGCATCTATGTGACTCTGCAAAAGATACTAGAGTTGCTTGTGCCATGTAGAAGGCAGCCAAACGTCTCTAAAGTAATAGTCAGAAATGGGGAAACCACATTACCCAAGAGTAAAAGAGATTAAATGAGCAATTGGACACCAGTACCAAGTCAATAAATATAGGATACGGAGTTTTCAGTGCGGATAAGCCTGCTTGTAAATAAATATTCAGCAAGGGCTCCAGGGTCATGCCATATAACCGGCAGAATTCCTGTTTAAATTGATCCACCAAGTAGTCCCATTGTTTTGGTTCAAATAAAACCTGGAAAACAAAACATAAGATATCAAATATATTCCCAAATGAAACCAAGTCTTACTAATGAGAAAAGACAGAACTCATCAGGTTAGATAGACTCAAGAGAAAAAGTAAAAAGACAAGTGAAGACCACCGTGAGGACTAAAAGCTAGTTTCTTAAAATGAAGAGTCATATATTAATAAATAATAGTCTAGTACCTGGGTTAAACCAGCAAGAAGAAATTATTCTACTAAAACACTTGCAATAAATTATTTCCCTATTTCATTTTTCAGTAAGTGATGAGTCCATTCAACTTTGCAAGGGCAACGGAGAAAAAATGATAACCAATATGGTTTTCTATATAGAAAATTGGAAGTATGACACACGGACAAACTACATGGGGAAAAGTGCACAAATGCACAGAGTCAGGAAGAGACAGAGGCAAAGTGTTGTGTCTCTGAACTCTAATCCAAAAATTTTCTGATCTATCAGTGTTGTGAAAAGCACTAGGCACCCTTGAGGCGACAAGGTCGTCCATTGGCTGAGGCACTAGGCATGATATGAAAATTAAAAATTTCTAGACAACTCAAAATGTAGAATTCTACATTGGTTCAAAAAGCATTAGGTGATTTAAAATTTTAGGTGTATTGTTAACGAGATCAGAAGTTCGAAACTCTATCATGCATTTAGAATTAGAATTATGCATCCAAAAATTAATTTCAAAAAGCACATTAAATAATTTAGAATTCTAGATGACTGTTGAAGAATCAAAACTATGTCATTTAAACTTAAAATTCTAGTTTCTAAGGATTTTCTTCTTTATATTGAGTCTGCTATGTTCTTTCATGTAGCAGAAATCCTACGTGCTTTCCTTTATTTTTATTAGATTTATTCACCTAATTCTTTTTTTTTTATTCATTGAGAGGCCCAATAAGCCGAAATAACACTGCTGGGTAGCCCTTTACCTTAGCTGACCAAATTAGTGAAAACTCTTGTGGTCGAGAGGACTCAAACTCGACCTTAAACTCCTCGCATAAGTGAGAAGACCAACCAGACCACACCTGGTTGGTTGTTCACCTAATTCTTTGATTGGCTGCCAAGCTTCCCAATTTGAAGCCTCCTTCTCCTTTTTTTTTTTTTTTTCTTAATGAGGGCAGGACACTATGCATATAAAATATTCGCCTATTTTCTTATTTTCGAGTTATATGATGGATATGAGTCCATTCTAAACTTTGCAAGTAATAGGCAACGAGAGAAAAATGGTATCGAATACCATATAGAGTTTTCTATATGTAGATATTTATATTGTGAAGTTAGTGGGACACTGAGAACACAACCTAATCACAATGGGGAAAAGTTATGCACAAATGTGCACTTGGAGTCAGAAGTGCACAGGGATGGACTTAAGTGTCGTGTCTCTGAACTTCTCTATATCTTCAAGAAAAATTTTTAAGACTAGGAACAAGTGAATCTATCAGTGTATAGTGAGAAAAGCCAAACTAGTGGCACACCTTTTGACGGACGACCATTAACTGGATTGTCCTTAATTGGCTTGGTGATCATTTCCATTACTGTTCTTGGCACTTAGGCATCGATATGAAAATTAACAACAACATTTCATGATCAATGCCTCCAAAAATATCGTTTTAGATGTTCCCTACCATTGGTTTCGATAAAATATTATTCATTATGAAACTTTTTAAAATTACTCTAGTAAAGTGTATTGTTTAACAAGGATCAGTTAAGAGTTATTCGCATTTTTACTGGATATCAATGGACGGCATCTAAAGAATTCTATTAGGAACATGTTTTGACTATCCAAAATATTAATTCTTGCAATTAAATGCCAAAGCACATTAAAATAAATTATTAATAGAGAGATAAGTTCTATGGACCCTATGACGTGTGAGACAGAGAGATTCTAAAGATCTCATTGTCGGATAATAGTTAAATACTTTTAAAAGTTCTTTAGTTTTTCTAAGGATTTCTTGCTTATATATTGAAAGTCCTAGCGTATGATGTCTCTTAAAAATTATGTCGGAAATCATCGCAGTGCTTCCTTTATTTGGTATATAGATGTTATTCACCTAATACTCTTTCAATTTTTTGATGATTATTTGAGAGTCCTCAATATAGACCGAGAATAAAGCTACTGTGTTCTGAGGGTCCAGGACCCTTTATTCCCTTTAGAACTAAACGACAACATTAGTAGAAACTCTTGTTGGTCGAGAGGATCAACCATACGTCGATGCAGCCTTAAATAAGCTCTCTCTCGACATAAAGATCTAGGGGGAGGTGAGGGAAGCACTTCCCACCCCAGAGAGGGGAGGAGTACCCCACACCTGGTAAGGGATTAGTTTCACGCTATTCATTTTGATTGTAGCTGACGGCGAATGGCCTTCACCTAGGGTCATTGAAGACGGGGGCCTCCTTCTCTTCTTGTGTTTGGATTTTTCTTTTTTCCATAAATTTGTATCTACTATACTTGACTGTTTACTTTAAGGTTAGTGGATTAGATTTTGTCCTTGTGTGTAATTTAAGATGTCAAAAAGTTATTTCAATTTCCAGACACTTATCTAGTTGGTATTTCTTTATTTTATTATTTCAATTGTTTTATTGTTATTCTTACCCCCAGGCATATGGTGATGATTTAATATTCTTTTGCAACAGCAATATTATAAATATGATCGTGCACCCAGCGGTTCACAATGGTGCAAGGTGACAGTCTGGTCAAACTGGTTCTATTCATATTCCACCAGCCGCATTCTTTTTAGATCTTCCAACCTCTTTCCCCGTCTAGTTCGCTATTGGATTATTCTATTTAAATGTTAAACCTAAGATTATAGTCATATATGCGGGACAGTGGAACAAATTTCTATAAATACTTATGTTGGAGGCACTCTGCGCACTTGAGCTGATAACCTCGTATAAGACCTCTAGCGTCCCGGCTTTCTACCCCTCATCCAGTCGCCGGTCCACGCCGCTCAGTGACTGCGGGGTTCATCGCTGGCCTTTTTTTTTTTTTTTTTTTTTTTCCCATATTTGTGTTAAATTTTGAGCTAATTATTAAATGAGTGTCAAACTTTCTATATTCCAGCCGCATTTAGCTCACTTTTCCCGTCTTTATATTTCTATTAAATGTTAAACCTAAGATTTAATATCTATATGGGAAGTAACAATTTCTATTTGAGGCACTCGCCTGAACCTTGCTGCGGCTTGGCGCCTAGGCAAGGCCTAGTTAATATCGTCTCGCCTGAAGGTATAAAGAGGTGCCTAGCCCTCGTGTCACCTTAGCACCTAGGCAAGCGCCTGGTGACAACACTGATCTATCATTTAATCAAAATTTGTGAAGAACAATATCCAAATGCGGTGATCAAATAACATTGTTAAATAAGGTCACCTTGTATGTTGCACATTCAGTGTGACTCTTAAAAGCCAATGTTGCCATGACCCTCTGCAATTCTTTCATATGGGTAGCTCCCCATGGAGCTAGATACTTTCGAGCATATGCAATGGCACGCATGTTGTTTTCAGATCGTACCAACTCTATAAACTCTTGAAGTCTCAACTGGAATTCAAATTTGCTCTGTAATCAATAAAAACAATAAGCATTAACAAAGGTTACACAAATCCTTGCAAAGGTCAACTATTTAATTTTGGCATTAAAGCAGAAATAAATTATTACAGTGTAATTTGAAGCTTCAAAAGCTAACTACTTACAGTACAGATAAAGAAAAATAACAGGGCAAAGATATTGGACAATGCCAAAGACAGTATGGAAATGACACTAGAATCAGAATGCTGCATATGTGTTGCATTTCACTGTATTCTTTCTAGCATGAGTCCATATACTGCAGCAAATAACTTGAGTGTATTCCAAGAAAACATATCTAAGACATCTTTTCTATATATGTAAAACAAAACTTATTCTGCCTCATTAACAAACGTTATAAAATGAAACAAGGAAAAAGACAAGAATGAACAGGCTAGGCAAGATAAACCAACCAAACAAGCTAATTTGTCTAATAAGTGTGATTATCACCCAAGCCCAGAATTTGACGATTACTTGCCAGGTCTTCTACTTACTCTTTCCCTTTAGCATGAGCAAATAAGTGCACAAAAATAACAGAACTGATCGTATCCATAAGCCTAATTTTCTACCTAGATGTTACAAGTATGCATAATTCCTGCCATAAGGAAAATGGTAAAAGCATCCTCTTTCCGAACTTCAATCATGCTAAATTATTATACTTCTCAGCTTCAATCAGGATGTCTGCTAGTAATACTAGTAATTAAAGAAGAAGAAGAAGACATTGTTGATTGATCAATCTATTAGCTCTCAGTTATAGACTCCATAAAAGAGAAATAGCTAGATTCCTATTTGACACGAGGAATTAATTGGTACCTTTGACTTCTTCAATCGTGATTTGTTATCGGCACACCAGGCTAGAGCAGGAGCTACCTCCCTATTCTGAAGGGCATCAATAACCTTTCTTGCCTCTTGAAATACATCAATATCAACAAGATCCTGCATTCAACTTATTATCAGCGTGGAGATAAAAAACCTCTTAATTACTGCCTCTCTGTCTCCTCTTGTTGGAGACTTGGGAAGAGAAATGAAGAAATAGTCTCATACGACATCAAACCTATTAAGTCCAGAAAACTCCAATCTTCTACAAGTACAAAGAAAGATAAACAGTTGCAACACAAATTTGGATCTTAAAGTAATACACATCACTGCACTTCCACTTGACACATATCATAATGATAAACAGCTCATGTCACCATTACCTTTTCTTGAATTTTCATAACTTCATCACCAAGCATAACTATTAGCCAAATAGACATTGATAAGAACAGAACCATTAGCTACCTACAAGTCTAGTAGCTAAGTTACTAAGCAGTTTACACAATAAAATGTGTTTTTACAGTTATATCATCAATAGAATAATCACATCTGGCAAAAATTTCTCAAACTCTGACCCATTTAACTCAAAAATATCCACTTAAAGAAGCCAAGATAGTAGCTGCTCATGAACAGAAATCGTCAACGAAGTTTACCATCATATTGCTGCTTTCAGCAAGCTTCATTCCAGTTTCATAATAAGACATTCGCAGCATATAGTCCACAAGAATCCGCTTCAGACGAGTGTTGCTCCATTCCGAAAGATTCTCAGCATCTACTGATTCTAAATGGTCAAGTCGAGCACGACACCTTTGAGCTTGCAAATGCTCTGTCTTACTTCCCTCTTCCAACTACATAGCCAAAACAAACATGCTAACTACTAAATATAGATCCAATAAAGTTACTGACATCCGAGATCATAAAAAACGTCCAATTCACACTCCCAAATGCACCAAAATAAAATTACAAAAAAAAATTGCATAAAATAAGCAATTCAGGTAATTAAGACCCAAAATTCTAATTACATAATTTTCCATTTTTTTTCACAAATTTAAGATTCAAATACTGTTAAAAATCCATCCAGAGGCAGTAGCTGGAGATTTTGAGAATTGTTGAATTGCAATACAATTGGCTTAAAGCGTCAAACGTGCGTCCAGGTTGATTTTCTTTCCTTTTTTTTTTAATATATGATACCTTTCTTTTCAGCCCCTGCAATCTGGACACAAGAGAAGTAAGCTGCTGAACGGCGTCGTCTTTGGATATATCGGAATCGGCGGTGTCATTGACGGCAGTGATGACGGACGAGACTTCTTTCTCGACGAATCGGTGATTAGCTCGGATCGTTTTCTTGTAATGCTCAAAGGGGACTCGCAAGAACTGGTGCTCGAGTTTTAACGAATCCGTTAGTTGCGTGAGTTTTGAAGACGGAGTCGCGGTGGTTGGTACAGCTGGGGTGGTGGCAACGAGAGTGGAGGCAGCAGAGTTTCCGTTAGGGAGGGAATCCATTTCCGCCGGGGAGGAAAAAGTTATGAATTGGGGATTGTCTTCGATGTAGAGTATATATTAAAATAGTAGAACTTTTTCAGATTGATTTGATGAGGAGATTGGAATCGGACTGTTGTTGGAGAAGACAAGCAACGGGGGAAATCATTGGTGACCGAACGACAGCGTTTCCAGTTTTTAATTGTTCCGTTTTGTCAGCTAGACATGAGATTAAATTCGATTCAAATTAAACTAAGCAAGACAGAATAGATTTCAATGTAAATCAAACTGTACTTAATAGTATATAAAAATTAAGTTCAACTCAATCAATTGGCTTTAATTTTGTTAGATGAGTTTTAATTATTCTTAGACAGATTTAGACTTACTTTTTTGAATTTAATAATCAAAACGGGTCATGAGAATACCATTTCCCTAATACCGAAATTAAACGGTTATGATTGAGGTTAAATTAATATTGGTTCGTATCATAAACAGGTAACCGTATATGACACGAGTTTAAATAGATTGTATCATGGATTGACTCGTCAAATTTAATGTACATATGTTAATTAATTAATTGATATATTATTAATAACTTAATATTATATATTCATGGATTGACTCGTTCATATTAATGTACATATGTTAATTATAATTGTATATTATTAATAACTTAATATTATATATATATTTTATATATATATATATAATTATTAAATTTTTATAAATTCAATCTGCAATGGAATATTAAGCCTAATTTTTATATCAATTTATTAAGTAAGCCTAAATGTTATGTTGTGGGTCCCTCCGAACATGTGGGGACCCACACACATTTTGAAAAGTAAAAAAAAAAAAATCATAAACCGTTTTTTGTTTTTGGTGCCAGTCAAAGGAGGCTGCCGAAAACAAAGAAAATAAAAAAAGCACGTTCATTTTGTATTCAAAAGGACGGTGGCCAAAAATGTTATGTTGTGGGGTCCCTCCGACATGTGGGACCCACACACATTTGAAAAGAAAAAAAAAAATATAAAACACGTTTTTTGTTTTTGGTGGAGTCAAAAGAGAGACTGCACCCGAACAAAAAAAAAAAAAAGCCACGTTCATTTGTTTTCAAAGGACGCGTGCCAAAGAAAGAAAGAAAAAAAAAAAAGGAAAAGTGGACGCGTGATTAAACGCGTCACTGCGTCCCCTTCTCCCTATAAAAAGGGAGAAGGTTTTTCATCATTAAGTTGTACAAAAACGACAATATAGAAATATGAATAACACATATTGAGTGTAGAAAATTTTAGGAAAAAGGGGTTCCTGGGTAGAGGAGAAAAAGAATGGAGAAATAGTGAGGATTGAAATTTTGGGGTGTTTTTGTTAAACCACTTTAGATTACCACTCATTTTTGTAATCTCTTTTGTAACCTACTCATTTTTAGTAGAAAAGAATTCATTTCGGAGTATTTGTCCGTGGACGTTAGCCCATAAACAGTTGAAGGAGTGGAACCACGTAAAAACAGTTGAAGGGTGAACCACGTAAATCTCCATGTTCTTATTTTTTTTTCATCTGGCATTTACGGTAATTATTTAATTTTTACCGTGATTATCATTTCTGATGGATTCAATCGTCAATATTCAATATTTAATTATTGGAGGTATATGTGGTAATAGTAATTTTATTTTACTTTTACCACCAGTATTTTTTCGAGGGCCCACTCGGATAAGTTAGAATCCCAACATGTTATAGCATTTATTATTAATTTATCCTAGTAACTATAATTTTTAACCGGTACTATTCTTACTAATCATTATTATAATTATCCAATATATATTGTACATTTAATTACAAATAATTCTATTCATAGTTATCATAATAGTACTAGTCTTGAAATTATTATAACTAGTCATGTACCCACACAATGTGCAGATTATATGATTCTCTATGTTTTAATTAAATTGAATGTAATTTTTAAGAAAATTATTTTAATTTATATTTGCGTTGTTTTAATTTAAATAATTTGCTTATATACTTTTGATTAAATGATAGAAGGTAAAATTATATATTCTTTTTTAAATTTCTAAATAATGAACTCAAATATTAATTAGGACAATTAATTATTTTAAGCAAATTATTGTTATTCAATTGATATATTTAGTTAATTATTTATTTTTTCTCTTTGAAATTCCCATATATTCAAATTAAACAAAGTATAAGAATATTTAATCTTAATGAAATAAATTTTAGTGAATTGAAATTAATATTCTAATTCTATTTGTTAATCTAATTATATCTATCTATATAAATATATAATTTCTAAGGTCTAAATGTTTATGTGGCAGCATATTAGAATATGAAAGTGATAACATGGCATTTTTTTTTTTCATTACGATTAATATCTTAATATGAAAGTGATAACATGATATTCTTTATTTTTTCATTATAATTAATATCTTTTATATTTAAATAAAAATTAAATGTTCTTTATTAAATAATAGAGTTATAATTAAAATTATTATAATAAGATTTCATTATAATTAATATATATTAAATATAAAGTTTTTTATTAAATAGTTTTTATTCTTTAAAAAACTAGTAGAGTTATAATAGAGCAATACCTAATAAAAATTAATTAAGTCCACCCTGAGCATAGTTTTCACTACAAAAAATTTTTCTTTCCACCTTCCTTTTAGAGATGCAAGTCATTCCCTCAAAAAAACTAAGCCCACCTCGAGCAGTCAGATGAGGATGGTCTTCTCTCCCATGATTTGTCAAAGCATATAAACCATTGATCACAAAATGAGAAAACTCCAGGTTCGTCTTGTGAGCTAAGATGCTAAGCCCGAGCACGATCCTAATACTATTAGGAGCAAGTTGGGACATCGTAATGCCGAGCTGATTGAGACAATCACATAAATCCGGTTGGAGGGGAAGACGAACACCAACTCTCAAATTTTCCTCGTAAAGAACAAGAAAATTGGGACTTTGCTCGGAATTTACTCGAACATTCTCTCTAATAAGGAAAAGCTCAAATTCGTCGGGATAGAGTATTTTGCTTTAAGCCTTTCCATATCCTCCTCTCCAAGCAAGGGCTTAATTTGGATACATGTTCTCCCTCTTTGCACTGAATTTATTCTTTTTTGTAGTCTTTTTGTCTTTTGTTTGCGCAGGAGTAGGTTTGGGGCTTCTATTTAAATGAGGAGGAGCAATCCTATTTCTAATAACAATACCAGTGGCTCGGACCGTGCCAGGTGATACCCTAAAAGCTTGATCTACTATGCCCATGGCAACTATAAGGCGGCTAAAGGGAAAACCACCTGATTTGGTAGCTTTAGAGCTTGAGGACGAAGAAGAGGAGAATTGTTGTGGGGTCCCTACAACATGTGGGACCCACACAAGTTTGAAAGAAAAAAAAAGAAGAAGATGTGTGGTGTTGTGGACCCACACACAAAGTTTGAACGAAGAAAAGAAAAAAAAAAAGTTTGAACGAAGAGAAAGCAAAAAAAAAAAGCACGTTTATTTTTATTATTCAAAGGAACCGGTGTCAAACAAAGAAAGAAAGAAAAAAAAGGAAAAGTGGACGCGTGATTAACGCGTCCGCGTACTTCTCCTATAAAAAGGAGAAGGTTTTCCGTTCATTAAGGCGCCACAACATAACTAGAAGCAATAATACACTATTTAAATGGTAGAAAGATTTTAGAAGAGTTCCTAAAAATATGGGAAAGAGAGAAAAATAGCTGAGAATTGTAATTTGTGGGGTGTTTTGGGAAAAACACTTAGAGTATCCACTATTTTTGTATCGCTCTTTTGTACTACTATTTTTTAAGTAGAAGAATTTTGGAGTTTTTGTCCCGTGTACGTAGCCCATGTAACAGTTTGAAGGTGAATCATGTAAATCTCGGTGTTCTTATTTTTTCAATCTGGCATTTTACAGTAATTATTTTAATTTTTACCGTGATTAATTATTTCTGGTGATTCACTGGCATTTACAGTAATTATTTAATTTTTACCGTGATTATTATTTCTGGTGGATTCAATCGTCAATATTCAATATTTAATTATTGAAGGTATATGTGATAATAGTAATTTTATTTTACTTTTACTACCTGTATTTTTCCGCGGACCCTACTTAGTTAGAATCCCAACAGGTTTCAATGGCGATACCTTGCCTTGTCTAGGAAAGGGGTGCTAGAGTCCATGATATTATAAAAAAGAAAAGAGCAAAGGAAAAGGTAAAATTAAGAAAGTGAAAAGAGCAAAACAATTATCTCTTGTGAAATTAATTACAAAGAGAAATGAGAGTGGTAGCAAAACGAACTTCAAAAGTCGATAGAAATGCTTCAAAGCCACAATTTATAGCCAACTTAGAATCAAAAGAGTCGCCAGAAGAGTGAAATGCCAAAAGTTGTGCCTTAATGATGAAGTAAGGAGCGTTGATAACCATCTTAGACAAGACGTGACTGGAGATGAGTCGACATTTAGGACTTACATGGAAAAGCAAAAATAAAAAGCGTTCGGAAATAGTTTGAAGAACACTAAAATAACTGAACATAAATGATTCGGTATACTTTTGGAGGGACTTTTGATAGAAACGGATTATTGATCTGTGCCGAGCAAATTAGGATGGCCGAACAAATCGAAGTAATCGAGTCGAGCAGTTAATTAAAAGCCGAGCATTGTCCATATACATTCAAATAAAGTAACGTTCAGTTAACGAAGTCATTAAAAGACCATTAATTATCAAGATTCTTACTCGACCATTAATTACCAAGATTCTTACTCGGCCATTATAACTTAGATTCTTACCATAAATGTAGATAGTCAGTTACATTTTGAGTGGTATTATAAATAATTTTATGAGAACATAGATAGAGCATATGATTTCTAGATTAAGAGCAATACACTGATCTCTTGAGCATTTCCTTAGTTTTAACTCTATCAAATGTTTTAACTCTATCAAATTTTTTTATTAACTATGACTCTATGCTCCACTAGTTTTTTTATAGAATAAAAAGTATTTAATAAAAAACTTTATATTTATTATATATTAATTATAATGAAATCTTATTAGGTTAATTGAAACTCCATTATTTAATAAAAAAATTTAATTTTTATTTAAATATAAAATATTAATTATAATGAAAAATAAAAAAAATACCATCTCGTCACTTTCATATTAGGATA